TTTCCAGGTGTTTTTTTTTTTTTTTTAAGCTGCTTCACTGAGGTGTAATTTACCTTATTCACTTGTGTAGCCATCTCTACAATTCAGTTTTAGAACATGTCCATTACCCCAAAAAGTGTCTTCATGCCCATTTGTAGTTAACCTTCACTCCCATTCTTAGCCCTAGGTGGCCACTGATCTTTGTGACTCTATAGATTTGCCTTTCTGGACATTTAATATCAATGGTATCGTTCAATATGTAGGTATGTAGTCTTTTGCATCTGGCTTCTTTCATTTAGTCTTTTTTTTTTTTTTTTGGTGATCGGGTGCAAATTTACAAAATAGATTTATTTTACTTTCAACAGTTCATGCACATTTGATTTCACAGCCCTGATTACAATCCCCAACCATAAAAAACTCTCCTCCCCTCTCCTCCTTGTGACTGCCCCCTCCCTGTGCCCTTCTTATCTATGAATTCCCGTCTGTCCAGTTTTCCCTCTTTGTGAATGCTGCCCCTTTGATGTCTCATGACTAAAGGGTGCATCTCCCTGGGGTAGGTGTTCTGTTTGTAGGTCTTTCTCCTTTTGAGCTGAGAGCCAATCCACAGAAGTGAGTCTATTTCCAGGCCCAAAGGATAACTGGAGATCATAGTCTTGGGGTTCCACCAGTCTCTATGTGACCAGTAATTCTGATCATTTTTGTGTTTTTGAATTTTGTTCCACATTTTTCTTCCCACTCTATCCAGCATCTCCAATTTTGATCCTTTTCCAAGTGATTGGCATTGGTAGCTGGCACCATCTAGTTCTGGTCTCAGGGCTGTGAGAGCTGAAGGCTGGTGGTCCATCATATCTTTGGACTAATTGTTTCCAAATAACTTTACTTTTCTTGACTCTTCTTTGCTCCAGATGAGAGAAGACCAATACTTGCGTCTTAGATGACCACTCAAAAGCTTTTAAGATCCCAGTTGCTACTCACCAAAGGAGGATGTAGAACAAGATTTTTATGTACTGTGTTGTGCCGGTTGAGCATGATGTCCCCTGAGACTATGGTTCTGAGCCTGCAGGTCTGGTGATTCTCCCCCTCAAGGTCTTTAGTTGTCTCTGAGAAGCTACTCCAACCTTATCCTCTGTTATTTCTGTAATGTATGTGGATAATTTTGTAGCACAAGTATATATTTAAGACTATCTTCAGCCAAATCTGTCCTTGGTCTTGGGTATATTCCTGTTCCTCTACCCCCACCTGATCTTCTCACTTGTCTATGCCCATAGCCATAGCCTAGTGTTTGGTGCCACTGGTAATGCAGTGTTGTGCATGTAATGGAATTTGCCTCTGTTGTCTATATCTTTTGCACATGTTTCTGTGTCCTCTCTTTCCCCATTGTCACCATACTGGTCACAGACTCTTTCCATACTGCCCATCCCCTCACTAAATCAACATGTGACCCCCAACTAGTCTGAAATTTTCCCTCCACTTCCCTCTCATCCCCAGTAACCAAAAAAGTGAATTTCCTTCCCTGTGTAAACCTTTCCTTAACTTTTTACAGTAATGGACTCATACAATGTTTGTCCTTCTGTGATTGATTTATTTCACTCAACATAGTGTCCTCCAAATTCATCCATGTTGTGAGATGATTCATGTATTCTTCATTATTATTTAAGTTGCATAGTATTCCATTGTGTGAATACCATAGTTTGGTTATCCATTCATCTGTCAATTGGCATTTAGGTTGTTTCCATCTCTTTTCTATAGGGAATTGTGCTCCAGTGAACATGGGTGTGCATATGTCTATTCATGTCCTGTCTCCCACCTCTTTAGGGTATATTCCTGGATCAAATGGTATTTCTGTTTTCATTTTTTTTCTACAGTAGCTGTACCATTTTACAGTCCCACCAGTGATGTATGAGGGTCCCAATCTCTCCACACCTTCACCAGCATTTGTTATTTTCTTTCTTGTTGAACTTGGCTATTATTGCTGGGGTGAGATGATAACTCATTTTTGTTTTGATTTGCATCTCTCTAATAGCTAATGATTGTGAGCATTTCCTCATGTATTTGTTGGCTGCCTGTATATTTTCTTTAGTGAAGTGTCTGTTCATGTCCTTTGCCCATTTTTTAATTGGATTGTCTTTTTGATTTTGAGGTGCTGAAGTTTTCTATACATTTTAGAGATAAGTACCTTGTCAGATATTTCATAGCCAAATATTTTTTTCCCAATCTGTAGGTTCTTTTTTTTACCCTTTTGGAGAAATCTTTTGATGTACATAATAATTTAATTTTTAAAAGGTCCCAGTTATCTAGTTTCTTTTCCACTGCTTGTGAATTATGGGTCATAGACTTATTTATGCCATAAATTAGGGCCCCTAGATTTGCCCCTATTTTATCTTTGATGAGCTTTATGGTTTTGGAATTTACATTTAAGTCTTTGATCCAGCTTGAGTTTGTTTTTGTGTATAGGGTGAGGTATGGGTCTTGTTTCATTTTTCTGCAAGTGGATATCCAATTTTGCCAGACCATTTGTTAAAGAGACTATCCCTCCCCCCATTTAATGGGTTTTGGCCGTTTGTCAAAGATCACCTGTCTGTAGGTGGATTGGTATATTTTGGGGCTTTCAGTTCTGTTCCATTGGTCTATCTGTCTATCATTGTACCAGTACCATGCTCTTTTAACTACTGTGGCTGCATAGTAGGTTTTGAAATCAGGATGTATGAGATCTCCTACTTTGTTCTTCTTCTTCAGCAGTGCTTTGCTTATTCAAGGTCTCTTTCCTTTCCATATGAATTTAGTGATTGGTTTTTTCATTTCCATTTTAAAGAATGTTGATGGAGAGTGAAATAAGTCAATCATAGAAGGACAAATATTATATTAATTCATTGTAAAAAGTCAAGGAAAGGTTTATATATGGATGGAAACTTTCTTTGTTTGGTTACCAGGGGTGGGAGGGGAGAGGAGGAAACACTACAACAATAAATTATATAAAATAAAAAGAATGTTGATGGAATCTGGATTGGGATTGCATTGAATGTATAGAGTGCTTTGAGTAGTACTGACATTTTTACTATATTCAATCTTCCTATCCATGAACATGGCATGTTCTTCCATTTATGTAGATCTCTTATAGTTTCTTGTAGTAGTGTTTTGTAGTTTTCTTTTTATAAGTCTTTTGTGTCCTGGTAAGATTTATTGCTAAGTATTTTATCTTTTTGGTAGCTATTGTAAATGGTATTGTTTTCCTTATTTCTTTTTCAAAGGTCTCTTTGTTGATGTAGAGGAATCCAGCTGATTTTTGTGTGTTGACCTTGTAACCTGCCACTTTGCTGAACCTTTCTATTAGTTCCAGTAATTTTTTAGCTGAGTTTCTTGGGTTTTCTATGTATAGAATCATGTTATCTGCGAATTGAGTTAGATTTACTTCTTATTTGCCAATTTGGAAGCCTTTTATTTCTCTATAGCTTAATGTTTTTGAGGTTCATCTATGTTGTAGCATATATCAGTAATTTGTTCCTTTTTATTGCTGAATATTATTTCACTGTATGGCTAGACCAGCAGTCCTGGTGGCACATCAGTTAGGCATGTGGCTGCTAACCTAAAGGTCAGTGGTTAGAACTACCAGTGGCTCCTTGGGAGAAAGACCTGGTGATCTGCTCCTGTAAATATTACAGCGTGGGAAACCTTATGGTGTAGTTCTACTTCGTAACCCATGGGATCACTATGAGTTGGAACTGACATGACAGCACAAAAGAACAATATGGCTCGATCTCATTTTCTTTATCCATTCATCAGTTTTGGCTATTATGAATAATGCTGCTATAAATATTCATGTATAAGTTTTTATGTGAACATATGTTTGTATCTATCTTTCTCGGGTACTTTCCTGTTGTTCTTGTTAGGTGCTGTTGAGTTGGCTCTGACTCATAGTGACCCTGTGTACAACAGAACAAAACACTGCCTCGTGTGCACCATCCTCACAATCCTTGATATACTACAGTCCATTGTTGCAGCCACTCTGTCAATCCATCTTGTTGAAGGTCTTCCCCTTTTTCACTGACCCTCCACTTAGCCAAACATGATATCCTTTTCCAGGGAATGGTCCCTTCTTACAACATGACCAAAGTAGGTGAGATGAAGTCTGGCCATTCTTGCTTCCCAGAACATTGCAGCTGTGCTTCTTCCAGGACGAATTTGTTTGTTCTTCTGGTAGTCCATGGTATTTTCAGTATCCTTCGCCAATATCATAATTCAAAAGCTTCAACTCTTCTTTATTCTTCCTTATTCATTATCCAGTTTTCACATTCATATAAGGCTATTGAAAATACCATGGCTTGGGTCAGGCTCACCTTAGTCGTCAAAGTGACATCTTTACTCTTTAACGCCTTAAAGAGGTCTTTTGCAGCAGATTTCTTCAGTGCAATACGTTATCTATTTCTTGACTGCTGCTTCCGTGGGCGCTGGTTGTAGATCCAAGTAAAATCAAATCCTGACACCTTTAATCTTTTCTCTGTTTATCATGATGCTGCTTATTGGCCCACTTGTGAGGATTTTTGTTTCCTTTATGTTAAGCTATAATCTATACTGAAGGCTGTATTCTTTGATCTTCATTAGTAAGTGTTTCAAGTCGTCTTCACTTGTAGTAAGCAAGGATGTGTCACCCTCATATTTTGGGTGGTTAATGAGTCTTCCTCCAATCCTGATCTCATGTTCTTCTTCATATAGTCCCGCTTCTCAGGTTATTTGCTCAGCATACAGATTACATAAGTATAGTGAAAGGATACAACCCTGACACAACATCTTTCCTGATTTTAAACCATGCAAACAACTGCCTCTTAGTCTTTGCACAGGTTCCTCATGAGCACAATGAAATGTTTTTGAATTCCCATTCTTTGCAATGTCATCTATAATTTGTTATGATCCACATAGTCAAATGCCTTTGCATAGTCCATAATAATATAATTATAATATACTCATATTCTCTTTGTATTAAGTAACATTTCCAAAGATCTGATGTCCTTTCTTATTCCTTTCAGATCAATCTCTAGAATCCCGTAGACTCTACAACAAGCCAGTTCAGAGCTTGCCCAACATGGACGCCATTTTCAGTGAAGCCCTTTGGAAGATGCAGAAGCAGTATCCTGGGTGCCTTTCTCAGGAGACTTGTGTCCGTGCGGTTCAGGCCTCGGTGCATTATCCTTATGAGGTGGGCAGCAAGAAGGAAAGGGAGCTGTTTGTATACCTTCAGAAATCAGGGCAAGCTAAAGCCCTGCAGTATGCTTTCATGGCTGAGAGGAATGCAAATAAGTGGTCAACTCCCTCTGGAGCATCCTGGAAAACAGCATCAGCAAAGCCTGTCACCTCAGTTGGCATTCTTGGTAAGAATGGTTAATGTAATTCTCCAAATTTATGTCTAACAACTGCACATGTACAGTGCTACCATTTGCTATGGGCCACTAGGTGCCATACTCTATGCTAAACATGTTAGCTTTGTTAGCTAAGTTAATTCTCACCTCACCCTACTAAGACCAAACCAAACCCATTGCCATTTAATTGATTCCAGCTCATGGGGACCCCTTGTGGTATAGATACAACTGTACTCTGTAAGTTTTTCTTGACTGTAATCTTTACAGAAGCAGATCACCTAGGACTTTCTTCTGTGGTACAGTTGGTTGGTTCAAACCACCAATCTTTAGATTAATAGTTGGGCACAAACAATTTGTACCACAGCCTAGCGATGCTAACCAACCTTCTGAACAATGAGCTAAATGTAGGTAAAGTGAGGAATCTGACCCCAGGTCTAACTCCTGACTCTGGGCATATTTTGACGCACCCCCACCTTGCCCCTGTATACATCTCTTCCTCCTGGATTTCCCAACAATAATGATTATCCTACCAAATTCCAAGATGTAGTTTCTCACTCTTGTAACTAGGCATTTGGAACGAAGGCTCTCTGCCTCTCTGGTCCCTGGATCTATTCACTTCTGGTTCAAAACTACCATCTTGCTCACTCCCCCACCCTCCTGAAATTTTTCCCAACAAAATGTCTTTTTCCCTCTGAAGCTACCTTCCTTATTGGCTCCTCTGGGCCACTTTCCTAACCTTCATTTACTCCTAGTCTTGGCTCAGGGATGGTCTTTGGGGGATTTTTAAACTCACTGAAATGATAAAATGTTATATGCATCAGTCTATGCACAATTTCCAGTGTTGGAGCATTGTTGTTGTTGTTGTTGTTAAGTGCCGTCGAGTCGTTTCCGACTCATAGTTTACCAAATATACCAACTTTCTTAACCCTCACTCAGTTTTCTAGCACCAAGTCAACTTGAGGCCCATGCCACATCTTCTCTATTGTCTCAGTAAAATTTTGGTATAAAATAATGATTTTAATATAAACACATTGTGCTTCACAAGGTCATTTTAGGACCCAGATTCTTTCCAACTAATGACACTACCATTCTCTAGGGCAAGGGTCTGCAAGCTGTTCCTGTAAAGGGCCAGTTAGGAAATATTTTAGGCTTTGTGGGCCAGATGATCTCTGTTGCAACTACTCAACTCTGCTCTTGAAGCACAAAAACAGCCACAGACAATGTGGAAATGAATGAGTGTGATCCTGTTCCAATAAAACTTTATTTATGGACTCTGAAATTTAAATTTCACATAATTTTCATGTGTCACATAGTATTATTTTTCTTTTCATTTTCCCCCCACTGCTTAAAAATATAAATTTTCCTAGCCTGAAGGCAGTACAAAAGCAAGCAATTAGCTGGATCTGACATGCAGGCTATTGTTTGCCATCACCTGCTCTAGGGCCTCTTCAAAGGCCTCCCTCTTGTTCTCTGCATCCTCTACATACGGATGACAGTGAGGCATCTTGTGGGAGATTTTTGGGACCAATCCTAGAAGGACACATATCTCCACATTTAGTTGACCTGCTCTGGATGCAAAGGGTCTTCTTCTGTGCCCAGGAGGAAAATGAAATGCTTTGGGCAAAGAAACAGCAATGTCTTTGCCATGAAATAATTTTTCTACATTTTTTATTCTTCTTGCCTTTACAAGATGGTTCATTCAACTTCCTCAGTTTCATCTGTTTCAAGGTCCATTTCAAACGTCTTCACCTTGAAGCTTTTCCTGGTTCATCTGACCAAATATAATCTCCTTCTGTTGAATCACCAAAGAAATTTGAACTTCTCATGCCATTTACTTTACCTTGTAAGAAGGTTATTTATGAACTTTCTTCTTCCTGCCACTAGATTTTAAGCTCCCTGGGGGCCGATACCATGCCTTACTTATACTTTCTTTTATAACAGCTTTATGGAGATATAATTCACATACCACAGAATTCACCCAGTTGAAGGATACAGCTCATGGCTTTTAGCTACTCATGGAGTTGTGCATCCATCAGCACAATCAGTTTTAGGGGATTTTACCACTCCCAAAGAAACCCCCTACCCAGTAGTAGTTACTCCCCACATCCCCTTCCCCCCATTCCCTGGAAACGACTAATCTACTTTCTGTATATATGGATTTGCTTATTCGGGACATTTCATATAAGTGGAATCATACAATACATGACCTTCAATGTCTGGCTTCTTACACTTAGCTTAATGTTTTCAAGATTCATCCATGTTGTAGTATGTATCAGTACTTCATTTCTTTTTTATTGCCAAATAATAGTCCATCATGTGTATATACCCTACTTGGCTTATCCATTCATTATTTGAGCTGTTTCTCCTTTTTGACTATTATGAATAATGCTGCTGTGAGCATTCATGTACATGCTTTTGGGTACACAAATTGTTTTCAGTTTCTTTGGTTTATATCTAGGAATGCAATTGCTGAGTTATATGTTAAATCTATATTTATCATTTGAGGAATTGGCAAACTGTTTCCAAAGTAGCTGTACCATCTTACACTCCCATCAGCAGTATCTAAGGGTTCTAATTTCTCCACATTCTCACCAACACTTATTTTTATCTGTCTTTTTTATTATAGTCATATTGCTCTGTATGAAACTGCACTCATTGTAGTTTTAATTTACATTTCCCTGGTAGCATAGTGCCTAAGGCACTTGACTGCTAACGAGAAGGCTGGCAATTAAAACCCACCCCTGGGCAATCTACTTCCGTAGTGATATTGCCTTGAAAACCCAAGGAGGGGTCGCTATTAGTTGGGTCCAACTCGATGGCACATAACAACAACAACGACAAATGATCTTGAGCATATTTTTACCGGTTCTGTGGGTTGTCATTCACTTTCATTTTTTTAAAATTTTTTTAATGTTATTTACTTTGTTATTGTTCTTGAGAATATAAACAGCAAAATATACACTTTTTTGACAGTCTACATATACCACTCAGTGACATTGATTATAGCCTTCAAGTTGTGCAACCATTCTCACTCTACTTTTCTGAGTTGTTCTTCCACCATTAACATAAATTAAGTTCACTCCCCCCAAGGTTCCATCTTATCTTTCAAGTTGCTATTGTCAATTTGATACCACATTGATTAAGAGTATAATGCTCAAGGCAAATATTTTTTACCAGTGAAGCTAAACTCTTGTTTGGTGTCAAAAAGACTTGTAAAGTGTTAGGGGAAGTTCCACTAAGATGGCAGAATAGGTAGACAGACTGCACAGACCCTCTTCAACAAAGAAAAGGGGAACCAATTAACACAGATACAGATGATGATCCTGGAGCTCTGAGCATTGAAGGGAATGATATAGAATGGACTAAACTCCAACTAGTAGAAGAATATGCATGAAAACACTGAAAAAGAAGACATACAGAGCTGCAGTTCCTGACGGCACAAATAGCTTGGATATTGCCAAGTAGTGTTAGGACCTAAGAATTTACCTAAAAATTGGCCCTGCTAACCAGGGCTGCACAGAGGACTGCACTGGTGGCTGGTGAATAAAAGGGGAAGCAGCGAAGAGGAAGGTGGGCTGAGGTGTGGACTTTTGCCTGTCTGGAGGGTGCAGCCATTTTGAATGTTTACAAGTGGTTTGACCATTTTGGATATTTAAAGTGACAGCGTTCTTCCAGGTTGCAGGGACTTAAGAATAGGCTCCACTTACTGGGAATGACAAGGGCATTCAGGACATGAACGACTGAAAAGGTGCAATAATCCCTTTTTCACTCTTAGACCCCACCCCTTCTTGGTGAACAGAGGTGTGGCTATGCCCTATTCCCACGCACTTTCTGGGCCAGCGGGAATTCCATCACAGTCTTTGTGCTCTGAGGGAACCTGGGGGGTACATTGTCCCATCCTACCCAGATTTTTTCCCCTGTTTTACAGTTTGTTTGTTTTTGTCTGTTTTAATTTTTTGTTTGTTTGTCCTTTTTGTTATTATTCTTCAGTCTTCCCTTCCCAGGTTCTAGTTTTCATCTTTTTCTCTCTTCCCTGTTCCTGGTTCCCATTTTCTTTTCTTGTAGTTAACCCCATTCCTTGTTTTTCTTTTTGCATTTTTCCCATTTTTTCTTCATTATCTCTTACTCTACCTTTTTTCTTTTATTGCCCTCTCCCCAGATATTACAGTGTTTTTTTTTTTTTTTTAATTTTTATTTTTTTGGTGATTGTTCCTGTGTGTTTATGGGATGTGTTTTTTGTCCACTTGCTTTTACTTTTTTGATGGTTTTTCAGTTGTTGTTTTTGTCTAACTGAGTGGGAGACAGCAACAGTGCTCATACGACACAATGACACCCGCACCTCTTGCAGCTTCACTTTCTGAGTGAGAGCCACAACTTCCTTCTCCACTAGCTGGCCAATGATAAATGACCACCAAGAACAGCCTGACTCACTGTTAGCCGCTCTTCACAAATGGTAAGCAGAGATGTAAATACAACAATGAGTCTCAGAGACAGCAAACCATCAGAGTCCACACAAAGAAGCAAGATAAAGCAGGAGAAACAAGGGAGCAGGAGACACAAATACATCCCTGAGGAAAAAGCAGCACTGGAACTCCCTAATAAGAAATTCAAAGAATTATATTTAGGTAACTTCAAAGGATTGAGAGACAGATCAAGGAAAACACTGACAGAATTAAGGAAAGCACAGACAAAACCCTAGAACCCTAGAAAATACAAGAACAAAATGACCAAATAAATGAAAAATTAGAAATTATACAAAATCTACAAATAGAAATCCAGAAGATTAATACTAAATTTTCAGAAATAGATAACAAATTGAAAGGGCAAAGGAGTAGAGTTGAACCAATGGAAGACAGAATTAATGAGACAGAAGACAAATACCTGAATACTTCTTTGGAAAGGGATCAATAAGAAAAAAGATCAAAACAAAATGAAGAAAGCCTAAGATTCATGTGGGATACCATCAAAAAGGAATAACCTGTGTGTCATTTGGAATTCCAGAACAGGAA